CAACTCCCAGAATTCCCCAGCCAGCGTTCGCTGGCTGGGGAATTCTGGGAGTTGAAGTCCAGGCATCTTCAAGTTGCCAAGGTTGAGAAACACTGTGTTTCGTGATTGCTATTAATTTGGTTGGAGATTTTTTTGTGTTCTTTAATTTAGTGAGCTTGTAAAACACAATAAAATTAAAGTAATAGTGCAAAGAGTTGACTGGTTGCCCCAAAAGGGTACCCCCCCACCCCCCACCCCCCAAGCAGTCCGATAATCACATTTGTGGCCGTTATTTATGATTGCATGATCACAATTTGCGACATTTTTGCTGGTTTCCTGAAACACCCATTCAAGGGAATTGATTCGGATTTATGACAGTGTGACTCACTTAATGACCGTGGTTTAGACTTATTCCTACATGATTCTCTTAACGACCAGTATAAAAATGGATGTAAAATAGGGTCCAATGATCACTTGGTGTCTCTCACACACACACACTTAATGCCATCAGAATTCAGAGTGAGAAAGAGTTTTATTTGGTACGGTACAACCAGCGTCACAATATTTGATTAAAGAGGAATGTCAATGTTTCTATAAACATCGGATATTTATAGACCCTTATCATTAAAAAAATAATTCAGTGGACTGAAAAGCCATGATATACAGATATCAAATCTCCCCAAAAGGTTCAAGAGAAGGCAATTTACATGCAAATCACTTGATTTTTTTAAAAAAAAAACACACACAATTACAATACACCATAAAAATAGACTCCAGTAAACAAATATTATAGAACTCACTAATTAAAGGTAGCCATTAAAAATATTTCTTTAAACATTCAAAAAAGACACAATCTGGAAATGTTTCAGCCCATTTCAAACATGTTTTAGGACCAATCCAGCAGGATATGACCAACAGATCACAGCAAAAAGAGATCCAGTTCTTTGTAACGGCACTTAACCAGAGTTTCCTATCAGAATGTACTTTTAAAAATCAACGCTATCATGCTAAAATAGTTTCAAGAGTATCTTTATTACATTTCTTGTTTTAAGAAATTTCAACAAAATACAGTTAAGTCCTCGACTTGCGACCTACTTGGAACAAGCGAATTTACAACCCGGTTCCAAATGGCCATGTGACCAATGGTCATGTGACTGTGTTTCAAGCGCTCACCAACACGGCGACATGAATGGTCATGTGTAGTACCCCGCGGTCACGTGACCAGGTGTTCCTGAAAACCGGAATTTACTTCTGGTTTCCTCAAAACCTCTCCCTAGAAAATGAGTTCACTTAACAACTGCAGTGTTTGCTTAATGACCACTGGAAAAAAGGTTGAAAATCAGATAAGTCACATGACTGACGAGACCTACAAGCTTCCTGATCTACAACGATAATGGCCAGGCTTGATTACTGTCGTATGTTGAGGATTACCCGTGATTAAAAATTTGCCATCAAAATAAATCAAGATGCCAACTCCAACCTTGTAGAAAAAAAGGATCTGCGTGGCTGAAGGCACCATCTTGACTTTTTTGACCTGTCCACCTGCCACAAGTGCCCCAATAAGCATATTTGCTACTCCAAATACCGCACAGTGAATATTTTCCTTATAAAGAAATACAGCTCTGATATGCAAGTACAGGGGATCTGCTGATTAAAGAAATATATTTATTGCAGGCCCTGCTCTCCAAGGTTAAATGGAATTCCTGAACTTTTCAACATCCCAATTATATTTATGTTTTTATTGATTAAGAAAATGTATGTGGTTGCCCAGCTCATTCATTCAGAGATGAATCCGGGCAGCTTACAGAAATGAGACATACCTTAGCCTTGGCCACAAGGGAATCTACTTTTCCTCTTTAAAGTTCTTGAAATGGTCTCTAGGCTTTCCTGCTGGCGCAGGGGGTTGGACTAGAAGACCTCCAAGGGTCTCTCCCAACTCTTTGTGGATTGCAACTGGGTCGTGGAAATGGCCAGCGAGCGCACCGTGCCTCACTGTGAGCAGCGGGCGACCATGTTCACTCCATTTGTGTAAGTGGCAGGCACGCGTGCACCCGGCTCACCCAAAGGGAGCTGCATGCACACATGTGCACTTGACAGCTGCTCATGTGGAACCATCCCTCCAGTCCACAAAACCAGAAATATTGGGGACCTCTGCTTTAGAAGTCAAAAAAGTAGGTGTGGAAATTATAGCACACGCGGGAAATACAGTTTTTGTTTAGAAGCTTCTTGATGACTAATGCTAACAAAGTAGGCATGAGAAATATAGTTGTTTTCTTTAGAAGTCTCCCCCACCCCCCCCTTCCTTTTTCTTCAGTAGGTCCACACAAGACATTTAATAAAACAGAGATAGGAATGTTCATAGTTCAAAGGCTGGCTCAATATACTTTGGCTGTGACTTTGAACTAACCTGTGCTTTCTTTATAAAAATATGGATTTTTCTCTTCAAAGCTGACTTATATTGCAAATCAAGTGGATCAGCATGAGGGAGGGTACAAACTTTTAAAAGCATTCACATTTAACAGCACTGAGGTAGAAGAGAGGAGAAAGAGGGCTGCCTCAGTCTCCTTTCATTGCTATCAAGATCCCTGATAATAAAGCTAAAAGGAAAAAAGGGGAAAATATGCTGCTATCTTAAGTTTCTAGCGTGTCAAAAACTAGACAAGCTCTACGCAGAATTCTAAGTTGTTCTCCCCCCCATCCCCGTAATTTCATATATTGCAATAAATTAGATGCAAAGGTAAGGAAAAAAAGGAACAGTATCAGTTGCAGAACTACACAAAGGTATTACAGCAACTGTCGCTACAGACATTCACACATTGTTAGTATTGTAAAAGGAGCCCAGCTGCTCTTATATATTACATTATTATAAAATATATCTGTATTAGAACTACCGGTAGCTCCGGGTTCAAACCTAAGGTGATGTGTGCATCGGAGATCCCCCGTCACCAGATTCAGCAAAATTGCTTTGCAATTGTCAGCTAAATCCAGGCTGGAAACTAGTTTCCAGCAGGCATTTAAAAGATTTTTGGGATCTGTGATCAGGTGGGAGGGGAAAACTCATTTCCCTCCCTCCCCACTATAATACATTCAACCCAGGTTTTTTTTTAAGTGCAATGCATATTGGTCAGAGGGAAGTACCATGGTATCCTCCAGATGTTACCAGGGATGCGGGGAGAAACAAAGGCAGCAGCTGCATCATTTACACGAATGATACTCCTGATGTCCTTGTGGTGCCTCTAAAGCAGCTCTGGTTGTGATGCCCACAACCCCCTGCCAACCTGAGTTGGGTGCCAATAAAGGAGAATATCAGGGTTAAAATGAGGGGTCCTTGGTGCTCTCTCATGACCCAAACTAGGTAACATCATCAGTGCCAAGAGGGAGTGGGATTCCTTTCTAGCATTGATGACATCTAACCTGGTAGTAAAACGTTTGCAGAAAACAACCCGGCTCAGAGACCCCACAGTCCTCCTCCCTGCCCTTTTATTCCTCCTCCTCCTCTCCACAAACTTCACTCCCTTCTAGCACTGATGATGTTATCTAGTTGGGTAAGGAAACATCTGCAGGAAAACCAGCAGTTTGACAGCACCAAGGATCCCTCCTTCTCCTCATTCTTCACTCCGTAAACCCCATTCCCTTGTAGCTCTGAGCAAAGACCCCTAGGTTCATGGCAGTTGAGGTCCAAAACTTCTGGAGGTTACCTTATGATCGACCCTTTGCAATAAACCACACTTTCCTTACAGCATTAAGGTTAAAGCTAAGAGGGGGGAAAAGGCTTGGCCCATTGTGCAAATCCTCGCTTTGCAACTGACTTGGATAAGCACTTTGTGTGAAGGCAGTTCAGTGAGCTTCACTAGGCACTATTATATATAAGCAGCTTTCTTCTAAGCAGGGGGTTCATTGCCGCCAATGCTCATCAGACTGAGTTCGCCTAAGATAATTTGGGTTTTTTTCCCCCCATTACAGGCAACAAAACTCACTAAGGTGAAAGTTCAGCATAAAGCAGATGCCATCGCACCAAGTTTTCCCCCCGATCCTTTTCAAGGCCAGCAGAAGTGAGGATCTCATTTTGGCGAAAAGGTAAGAGAAAAACACAGCGTTCGTGGGCTCAGCCCAAAGGGTTTGCTAGATCAAAGAGCATGAAGCTTAAGGAGGCATCCCCAGTTCTGTGGTTCTTAAGTTTTCATTTGTTTCTTTTAAAAAAGCACATTAAAAAACTAGCACGAAGAAACTATTTCAAGTAAAATGTAACCGGGCTTAAAAAAAAAATTAAAATTAAAAATTTGTACAAAAGCATTCCAAGCCAGAGATCGAAGGGAATCATTTGCATTGCGTTGGGTGGCTGAGTCAGCTTATCATTTTGTCAATTTGGGGGGATTGGCAGATGAGGGTTTTGATCTTCCTTAAAAAAAAATCTGGTTTTGAAAAGTGCAGCTGGAGCCCTGCTCTTTGGCGGCACAGTTTTCCTCCGTCCCCCGCGTTGCAAACGCTCCTCGCAGGCTCGTGGTGGACCAGTTGCTTCATTCTTCGACCGCGTCTATTAAATTCCCCAACTGAATTTGCTTTTCTGAAAGATTCCTGCATGCTAAAATGTGTTAAGAGATGGCTTTTTTTCATCCCCGAGCAAGGCAGAGTCTCCTCTGAGGTCGGATCTTGAAAAAGTAAGTCGTGCCATAGTGTTTTTTTTTTCCCCCTGGCAAATGTCTCCTTAGCCACAAGGCTGCTGATTTTGGCTCAGTGTTGGTAAATCCCATTTCCCGGAATTGGGCATGGTCTCCATGCCCAGGAGGTTAAAAACAACAGAAGAGATTTTTTCCCGGGGTACCTTCTTATCGGACAAGACTGGTCCTCTTTTTAACCTTAATTGCATTGGCCATGGTAAGGCATCGACGGCTCTGGTAATGATTCAGAAGTTGCCGCCACAAATTATTGCTCGCCAGAAGATGGCTGTTTCCTACAAGCAGGAGAGAAAGGCAGGAAAAAGGAAGGGTTTTATTTGATCAAAATGGACCAAGAGGAAGGAGCATTACATATATTTACCATCTTGAATTGCGTAGCATGACATAACCGCAAACGTCAAAAGCACGCCGACAACACCGCGGCGCTAAAACCGTGATGTCAAAAGCGCGCCAACAGTGCGCCGACAGAAGCGCGATTTAACTTAAGGTAAGGTTTAGGGTTAGGTTTAGGGTTAGGTTTAGGG